GGGATTACAGGCGTGAGCCACCGCGCCCGGCCGCTTTTTTTTAAGTGACAGGCTCAGATTGTCACTCAGGAAGATCTTTTTCATGCAGGTTAAACTACATGAACTAGAGTGGGAAAAGCCCCAGAGGCGGGAAGACCTGCATCACCACTGCAAGAAAGCATGCCATGGAGACAACTAAACAATTCAACTGGGAGGGCAGGAGGGCTACACCTGACAGGAGTTGGGAGAAAGGGAGAGCAGAAGGTCTAAGATGACCCCAAGCTGTGGGATGAGCAGCATATTCACAAATGGGGGAAACTCATTTGAACCTCGTTTGGAAGGAGAGAGAAAATGTACTTCAGATACAATACAGATTAATCTTTCTTTTTTTGCTTTTCTATTTTGAAGAAAAGTTTAAGGGTAAGGTAAAGAAAAATTACTCAGTTTTCAGAGAAAGCCAGGCAGTACTGAGAGTTCATAGGCCAACCTAGAAAGGAAGTGACAGGATGGGGTACTCTCAGAGCCTGGAACTGAGCTGACTCCTAGGTTTAACTCCTGGCTTATCACAAGCTGTGAATACATTTATTCCATTGAAATTGTGGGCATGATAAACCATCTAACCAGGGAGGTCAAGGAGAGGATTGTTGAGGAGTTTATGGGAATAAGTGAGAGAATAATTTGTTTGGTATCAATTAAAGAACTTCTGGCATGTAGAAGACATTCAACAAATGTCAGTGTCCACCTGCTATAAAACTACTCCAACTCAATCCTACCAATATGTACTGAGTATTAGCCAGACAAGGTGGCTCATGCCTGTAATCCCAGCACTTTTTCTGGGAGGCCGATGGGGGGCAGATCATTTGAGTTTAGGAGTTCAAGACCAGCGTAGCAAACATGGTGAAATTCCAGAGTTCAAGACCAGCCTGGCCAACATGGTGAAATTCCATCTCTACTAAAAATACAAAAAAATTAACTAGGCATGGCATTACACCTGTAATCTCAGCTATTGGGGAGGCCGAGGCAAGAGAACTGCTTGAACCTAGAAGGCAGAGGTTACAGTGAGCCAGGATCGCATCACTGTACTCCAGGTTGGGCAACAAAAGTAAAACTCCATCTCAAAAAAAAAAAATAATTAATATAAATAAATATGTATTAAGTATCTATTATGGGCCAGACAAGGATTAAAAAGGACTCACAAATCCATATTGCATTGGGGGTAGGGCTGTAGGTGGTAGCAATTTGCTCTAACTAATTTTTATTGAGCCCTATGTGCCGATAACTAGCTCATCCCCACCAAAAGCCCCATGAAACAGATCGTGTAATCACTACCATCTAACATACAGGCACATCAGAATCAACTGCAGGCATTTCAAAGTTATGCAAGTGCCATCTCCCCCTTCCTCAGATAGGCCCTGCTGAAAATCAGTGTACAAGTAAACTAAGCTATAATGGACATACAGTTATGATGTACCGCGTATCTTCATACAAGAATATGATTGGTATGGTATGTTTCCCCACCACTCTCAAGTGTATCCCTAACTCTAACAGCTTTTCAAAACAAAACAGTACTTACATCTGACCACTTAGTTCCTAGCACCATTAGATTTACAATACAGATGGCTCCTGAACTTACAATGGATCATAAGTTGAAAATGGGTTGGGCATGGTGGCTCATGCCTGTAGTCCCAACCCTCTGGCTGTCCAGGTGGGAGGATGGCAGGAGTTTGAGACCAGCCTGGGCAACATGGCAAAACCCCATCTGTATAAAAAAAAAAATTTGCCAGAGTGGTGGCATGTGCCTGTAGTCCCAGCTGCTCAGGAGGCTGAGCCAGGGAGGTCAAGGCTGCAATGAGTTGTGATTGCACCTCTGCACTCCAGCCTGGGCGAGAGAGTGACACCTTATCTGAAAAAGTATAAATAAAACCGATATATATATTTCTACCATCTTCATGTACACACAGTAAATCCTTACTTGTTCATTCTACTCTGGTCTAATTCGTGATGCATATGACATCCAGATTTTAATGGCCACTAATGAACATGGGCTTAGAATTTTCGTTAATTGAACTGTTCATGGTTAAGAAATAGATGATTAGGATGTAATTTCTCACATCCTGCGCTGTTCACAGCTGCTAGTAAAAGAAGTTAGAAACCCTCCCAAGGAATGAAATTATGGTTTCAAATTTTCCAATGTTATCTCTATGTTTAGACACACCTTTATTAACTATTTTAAAAGTGAAAAAGCTGTCAGAGCATACCACTGAGTGCAACTGCCATTCCCCAAATTAAAAGGAAAAACTAAGATTGAGACCAGCTTGGGCAACATGGCGAACCCCATCTCTATAAAAAATACAAAAATTAGGCTGGGGATATAGATCAACGCTTGTAGTCCCAGCTACTCAGGAGGCTGAGACAGGAGAACTGCTTAAGACCAGGTAACAGAGGTTGTAGTGAGCCAAGATTGCACCACTGCATTCCAGGCTGGATGACAGAGTGAAACCCTGTCTCAAAAAAAAGAGAGAGGCCGGGCGCGGTGGCTCAAGCCTGTAATCCCAGCACTTTGGGAGGCCGAGGCGGGTGGATCACGAGGTCAAGAGATCGAGACCATCCTGGTCAACATGGTGAAACCCCCATCTCTACTAAAAATAAAAAACATTAGCTGGGCATGGTGGCGCATGCCTGTAATCCCAGCTACTCAGGAGGTTGAGGCAGGAGAATTGCCTGAACCCAGGAGGCGGAGGTTGCGGTGAACCGAGATCGCGCCATTGCACTCCAGCCTGGGTAACAAGAGTGAAACTCCGTCTCAAAAAAAAAAACCATCTCTGAGATGACAGAGAAAAAAAAAACTACGCTGAGCACAGTGGCTCATGCCTGTGATCCCAGCATTTTGGGAGGCCAAGGCAGGTGGATCACCTGAGGTCGGGGGTTTGAGACCAGCCTGACCAATAGGATGAAACCCCATCTCTACTAAAAATTAAAAATTAGCCAGGTGTGGTGGCATGTGCCTGTAATCCCAACTACTCTGGAAACTAAGGCAGGAGAATTGCTTGAACCTGGGAGGCAGAGGTTGCACTGAGCTGAGATCAGACAAGTGCACTCCAGCCGAAGCAACAAGAACAAAATTCCATCTCAAAAAAAAAAAAAGAAAAAGGAAAAATTTACAGTATAATTTATAATAAAGGAAGTTTAATGAATTGACTGTGATATTTAGTATACTACCTCAAATCTTAAAACATGAAAAGACTTTACCAGAAGACAGCCACCAACAATACTGCCTGTGACACAAATGATAACTGGATTTTTTTTTCTTTTTGAGACGGAGTTTCCCTCTTGTTGCCCAAGTTGGAGTGCAATGGCAATATCTCACCTCACTGCAACCTCCAACTCCTGGGTTCAAGCAATTCTCCTGCCTCAGCCTCCCAAGTAGCTGGGACAACAGGCATGTCCCACCATGTCTGGCTAATTTTTTGTATTTTTTTTTTTTTGAGATGGAGTTTCCCTCTTGTTACCCAGGCTGGAGTGCAATGGCGCGATCTCGGCTCACCGCAACCTCCGCCTCCTGGGTTCAGGCAATTCTCCTGCCTCAGCCTCCTGAGTAGCTGGGATTACAGGCACGCGCCACCATGCCCAGCTAATTTTTTGTATTTTTAGTAGAGATGGGGTTTTACCATGTTGACCAGGATGGTCTCAAACTCCTTACCTCATGTGATTCGCCCTTCTCGGCTCCCAAAGTGCTGGGATTACAGGGATAAGCCACCACACCTGGCCTGATGAACTGGATGTTAAAATTGATACTTAAAATTTGATTATGGTGAAACAACACAAAGGCCACATATTCTGTGATTCCATTGATATGAAATATTCAGAAGAGGTAAATCTACAGAGACAGAAAAGATTGGTGGCTTCCAGAAGCTGAGAGAGAGTGGGCAGTAACTGCAAAATCAATATGGGTTTCCTTTTGGGGTGATTAAAATATTTTGGAGGCCAGGCGCAGTGGCTCACACCTGTAATCCCAGCACTTTGGGAGGCTAAGGTGGTGGACTGCTTAAGCCCAGGAGTTGGAGACCAGTCTGGGAAACACAATGAAATCCTGTTTCTATAAAAAATTTAAGGTCAGGCATGGTGGCTCATGACTAATCCCAGCAATTTGGGAAGCCAAGGCAGGCAGATCACGGGGTCGAGTTTGAGACCAGCCTGGTCAACATGGCAAAACTCTGTCTCTACTAAAAAAAAAATACAAAAATTAGCCGGGCATGGTGATGGGTGCCTATAATCCTAGCTACTCAGGAGGCTGAGGCAGGAGAATCGCTTGAACCTGGAGGTGGAGGTTGCAGTGAGCCAAAATCGCACCACCTTACTCTAACCTGGGCAACAGATCAAGACTCTGTCTCAAAAAAAAAAAGAAATTAAAAATTAGCTTGGTGTGGTGGCACATGTCTGTAGTGCCAGCTACTTGGGAGGCTGAGGTGGAAGGATCACTTGAACCCAGAGGTGGAGGTTGCAGTGACCCAAGATCGCTGCACTGCAGTCAATCTGAATAAGACCCTGTCTCAAAGGAAAAAAAAAAAAGGAAATGTTTTAGAGCTACATGGAAGTGCTGGTTGCACAACACAGTGTGAATATACTAAATGCCACTGAAATATTCACTTTAAAGTGGTTAGTTTTATGTTTTTGTTTTTTGAAACAGAGTCTTGCTCTGTCGCCCAGACTGTAGTGCAGTGGCACCATCTCGGCTCACTGCAACCTCCGCCTGCCAAGTTCAAGCGATTCCCCTGCCTCAGCCTCCAGAGTAGCTGGGACTACAGGTATACGCCACAACGATTGGCTAATTTTTTGTATTTAAGTAGAGACAGAGTTTCACCGTGTTGGCAAGGATGATCTGGATCTCCTGGCCTCGTGATCTTCCCACCTCAGTCTCCCAAAGTGCTGGGATTACAGTCGTGACCCACTGCACCTGGCCAGTTTATGTTATGTGGGTTTTGCTTCAATTTTTAAAAAAGGTATACAATTTTTTTTTAAAGCTTTGATCATGGACCAAAGGACTTGAATATGGAAAATTCTACTTGGCCAGCACATTGACACAACATATGTCAGTCAAGGCCACAGATATCACGACAGGTAAGAAAAGCTATGTTTTGATTCAAGTTACATGTTTTAAACACAGATGTTTGGCTAATGCTTAAAAAGTGCTTGATGCATATATTTTATAAATCAGCAATTTAAATTCGTCCTGCTTTAGATACAAAACTAATCCTTAGGCTGGGTGTAGTGGCTCATGCCAGTAAAACCAACACTCTGGGAGGCAAGGCAGGAGGATTACTTGAGGCTAGGAGTTTGAGAACAGCCTGGGAAACACAAGGAGACTTCGTCCTTACAAAAAATTTAGAAATCAGCCAGGTGTAGTGGCACAAGGCTGTAGTCTGAGGCAGGAGAGTCACTTGAACCTGGAAGGTGGAGGCTGCAATGAGCTGTGATCACACCCTTGGCACTCCAGCCTGGGTGACAGAACAAGACCCTGTATCAAACAACAGCAAACACAGCCATCCTAACTAAAATTTTAGTTTTGTTAGCTAAATGGTATGTTCATTAAAGGAAAATACAACTTCAGTGCTGTCACAGAAGTGTCTTACATTGCAAGAAAAGTGAAAACATGTGTGACAAAATTCTGTCCAAGTTTCTGTAGTGACAGAAATGTTTTATATCTGTGCTGTTATATGACAGTCACCGGCCACATGTGGTTATTAAGCACTGGAAACATGGGAATTATGAGGAACTGAATTTTAAATTTGATTTTAATAAATTTAAATAGCCACATGTGGTCCTCGACTATACTTTGGATACATAGTTGTAGCTCAAGGATTCTCCTTAATTGTAATACATACTTCCCACCTAATCCTCCATTTCTATCCCATTATCTGCTCATCCCCCACCCTGATGGGTAAATCATCACTCCTCTAGGACAGGATACCTCTTTAAACTAGACACACACAGGGGGACCAGGTGCAATAGCTCACACTTGTACCTGTAACTCCAGTACATTGGGAGGCTGAGGTGGGCGGATCACTTTCGGTCAGAAATTTGAGACCAGCCTGGCCAACATGCTAAAACTCCATCTCTACTAAAAAATATAAAAATTAGCCAGGTGTGTGTCTGGTGGCACACACCTGTAATCCCAGCTGCTCGGGAGGCTGAGGTGGGAGAATGGCTTCCACCAGGAAGGCAGAGGTTGCCTGGATGATAGAGCAAGACTCTGTCTGAAAAATATATAAATAAGTATGGCCGGGCACAGTGGCTCACTCCTGTAATCCCAGCACTTTGCGAGGCCAAGGCGGGTGGATCACCTGAGGTCAAGAGTTTGGGACCAGCCTGGCCAACATGGTGAAAATACAAAAAACTCTACTAAAAATACAAAACACATTAGCCAGGCATGGTGGTGCACACCTGTAGTCCCACCTACTCAGGGAGGCTTAGGCAGGAGAATCACTCGAACCCAGGAGGTGGAGGTTGCAGTGGGCTAAGATAGAATCACTGCACTCCAGCCTGGGTGACAGAGGGAGACTCCATCTCAAAAAACAACAACAAAAATGAATAAATTATAGGTACACACGTAGCTTAGTTCTTGTTCCCTAGGGTATCAACTTCCAGAATGAACTGTGGGTGGATGAATATCTGAAACATGGAGACTTTTTTCTCTACTTCTGTAGTCTCAAGAAGTTGGGATGATGTATAGAATAAATACACAATCAATTTTTACTGAATTATTTTGTTTTCCTTTGATTTTCACACTGGTTCCTTCCAGTCACATCACTTTACTTTTTCACTTTTCTTTTTTTTTTTTTTTTTTGAGATGGAGTCTCATTCTGTCACCCAGGCTAATGTGCAGTGGCACGATCTTGGCTCACTGCAGCCTCTACCTACCAGGTTCAAGCGTGAGCCTCCGCGCCTGGCCTCACTTCACTTTTCTGACTAGGAACTCTAGCCTCCATCTGTACATTCATTTCATTTCCATTAGGGTTCAAAAGGGTGAAAACAATTTTAAATGTGCTGGCTTTCTAAGAAGAGTTTAGGGAAGTACTACACTCAGGAGATTTGGGTGAGGTGTGGTGGCTCCCACCTATCAACCCAGCACTTTGGGAGGCTGAGGTAGGAGGACTGCTTGAGACCCAGAGTTCAAGACCAACCTGGGCAACACAGTGAGGCTCTGTCTCTACAAAAAATTTTTTTAAATTAGCCAGGCATGGCGGGGAGCAGTGGCTCACGCCTGTAATCCCAGCCTCTCAGGAAGCTGAGGCAAGAAAATCACTTGAACCCAGGAAGTGGAGGTTGCAGTGAGCCGAGATCATGCCACTGACTCCATCCTGGGCAACAGAGCAAGACTCCATCTCAGAAGAAAAAAAAAATTAGCCAGGCATGGAGGCATATAGCTGTAGTCCCAATTCAGGAGGCTGAGGCATGAGGATCGCTTAAGCCCAGGAAGTTGAGGCTACAATGAGCTAGGATTATGCCATGGAACTCCAGCCTGGGCAACGATGTGAGACCTGTCTCAAAAAATGAAATTAAAGAAATAAAATTTAAATTAACTATGTGGTTCATATTATATTTCCATTGGATTAGCCAGGGTTGTAATGACAAAAAAAGCAAGATTCATTTATCTCAGGAAGAAAATTAGGCTGAGATGATAAATCCAGCAGCCAGCAATTCTTAATAGGCACTTATCTGGTAAGGTCACACAAGACAATGTTTCTTGAATTTTTTTCATGAAAATCCCTCCAACAGCAAAGAATGAGCAAGATTCCATCTCTTAACAAAATTTGCAAGCGAGGTATTTTTTCCCCATAGACAATACTGAAAAACAGTAAAAGCAAACACCAGAAAGAAAAGTCTGCAGAACACTTACAAAATGTGGATGGTTTGCCTTAATTACTTAACACTCTAAAAATAAAAAGGCACACTGGTACAGACAGTGGTGAACAGAGCTGTTTTAAAGTATTTTACATCAACACTTGCTAAAATGTAAAAATAAGTAATTTCAAAATATTGCTTTAAATTAGAGCATTGCCTACTTATGACAAATGTTATTCTACTACTACTGAAACAGAACAGAGAAGTGCTGTAGTCCAAGCTCATGGGCCCAGTTTCTGAAGTCTCAGGCTACTTAATACAAAATAACAAGGAAAGTTCTAGCAGTCACTACTAAAATAAACTTTGAAATGACCTAGATTCTAGGCCTCGATCCTCTCATGGATGTGACCTAAGTTATTTAGCTTTACTGAGCCTTAATTTTCTCATCTGCAAAATGGGTCAACAGCACCTAAACCTCAAGAGGATGTTGTAAAGACTAAATAACTGGTAAGGGCGTATTAAGCAGTGGTGGTAACTGCTCAATACATTTATTACAGCAAGTATTTCAAAGCTCCCAAATGATTTCAGAAACCTTTAAGAATGAAACGTTAGGCAAATGCCAAGGCCACTATCAGAAAACCCATGTTGGTTGTAGTAATTAGCTCTAGGCATGCCCTTCCCCCAACCCCCATTATTAAACAGCATGATGTGCAGAACAAGCACTAAACTAGCAGGTGGCAAATCTGTATTCTAGACTCAACTGGGTCATTAACTCTGTGAGGGACCTTAGGCATTGACCTAGCATTTCTAAAGCTCCAGTTCCTTTATCTGAAAATGAGGAGACTGTACAACTGCTAGGGTCTTATAGAATCTATTTATTCAGACACTGAAGCAATGCAACGTTATCAACCTGATTAGACTTTGCATAGAGTAACTAAAATTCCATTATGTTTTTCAAACAATCCTGAAAGATAATCTTATGATCTACATGTTATCTACTTCAAAAACAGTTTGAGGCCAGGGACAGTGGCTCCTGACTGTAATCCCAGCGCTTTGGGAGGCGGATCACTTAAGGTCGGGAGATCAACCAGCCTGGCCAACATGGTAGAACCCTGTCTCTACTAAAAATACAAAAATTAGCTGGCCATGGTGGTGCATGTCTGTTATCCCAGCTACTTGGGAGGCTGAGGCCAGAAAATTGCTTGAACTGGGAAGGCAGAGGTTGCGGTGAGCTAAGATCACACCACTGCACTCTAGCCTGAGAGAAAGGGTGAGACTTGTCTCAAAAAAAAAAAAAAAAAAAGAAAAAAAGAAAAGAAAAAACAATTTGAGTAACACTGAAAATATATAAACTGAACTTCATTTCAGATAGCCTCAAAAAAGTACAAAAACAACAGAAATGGCCAGGTGCACTGGCTTGGCCTGTAATCCTTGCACTTCGGGAGGCCGAGGCGGGCAGATCACCTGAGGTCAGTCAATAGTTCGAGACCCCCCTAGCCAACATGATGAAACCCTGTCTCTATTAAAAATACAAAAATTGGCCGGGCGCGGTGGCTCACGCCTGTAATCCCAGCACTTTGGGAGGCCGAGGCGGGTGGATCACGAGGTCAAGAGATCGAGACCATCCTGGTCAACACGGTGAAACCCTGTCTCTACTAAAAATACAAAAAATTAGCTAGGCATGGTGGCGTGTGCCTGTAATCCCAGCTACTCAGGAGGCTGAGGCAGGAGAATTGCCTGAACCCAGGAGGCGGAGGTTGTGGTGAGCCGAGATCGCGCCATTGCACTCCAGCCTGGGTAACAAGAGCGAAACTCCGACTCAAAAAAAATACAAAAATTAGCCAGCCATGGTGGTGCATGCCTGGAATCTCAGCTACTAGGGAGGCTGAGGCAGGATAATTTTTTTTTTTTTTTTTTTTTGAGATGTAGACTCAGTCTGACACCAGGCTGTAGTACAGTGGTACAATCTCGGCTCCCTGCAACCTCCACCTCCTGGTTCAAGTCATTTTTGCGCCTTAGCCTCCCAGTAGCTGGGACTACAAGCATGCACCAGCAGCCCAGCTAATTTTTTTTTAAGTAGAGATGGGGTTTCACCATGTTGGTCAGGATGGTCTCAATCTCTTGACCTCGTGATCTGCCTGTCTCAGCCTCCCAAAGTGCTGCGATTACAGGCATTAGCCACCGCGCCTGGCCAGGATAATTGATTGAACTCGGGAGGCAGAGGTTGCAGTAAGCCAAAATTAAGCCACTGCACTCCAGTCCCGACAAGAGGGAGA